TCTCCCCACCCCCCTCCCCTCTGCCATCAGGCTGTACCGTGTGTCCATGTCTCTGCTTCTATTTTGTTCATCAGTTAATTTTATTCATTAGAGTCCACATATAAGTGAGATCATACGGTATTTGTCTCAGTCTGGCTGATTTTGCTTAGTATTAAATCTCCAGGTCCATCCGTGCTGTTGCAAAGGTAAGAGACCCTTCCTTTATACAGCTGCATAGTATCCATGGCGCAAATGTCCCGCAGCTTTGTTCTCCGCTCATCTACCAATGTGCACGTGGGCTGTTTCCAGGTGTTGGCTATTGTACAGAACGCAGCTATGAACATAGGGGTGCATGCATTTTTTCTCATTGGTGTTTCAGGATTCTTAGGATATATTCCCAAAAGTGCGATCATTGGGTCAAAAGGCAGCTCCATTTTTATTTTTTTGAGGAAGCTCCATACTGCTTTCCATAGCGGCTGCCCCAGTCTGCATCCCACCAGCAGTGCACCAGGGTTCCCTTTTCTCCACACCCTCGCCAGCACATGTTGTTTGTTGATTTGTTGATGGAGCCATTCTGGCAGGCGTGAGGTGATCTCTCATTGTGGTTTTAATTTGCATCTCTGCTGATCAGTGACGTTGAGCATCTTTTCATATGTCTATTGGCCATCTGGATGTCCTCTTTGGAGAAGTGTCCATTCAGGTCCTTTGCCCACTTTTTAATTGGATTGTTTGTCTTCCTGGTGTTGAGTTGTATAAGGTCTTTATATATTTTGGAAATTAGCCCCTTAGCAGATATAACATTGGTGACTATATTCTCCCAAACAGTGGGCTCCTTTTCATTTTGTGGATGGTTTCTTTTGCTGTGCAGCAGCTTTGTAATTTGATGTAGCCCCATGTGTTTACAACATCCTCATCAGAGATAAGACCCCTCCCGCCTGTCTGTTCACAGTTAATTCCAGCCCCAGGCAGACACTCATCTGCTTCTGGCTTTATTGACTTGCCTTTCTGGACATTTCATAGATACAGAATTATACAATATGTGATCTTGTGTGTGAGTGGTTACCTTGTCATAGCATGTATCAATAGCTCATTTTTATTACTGAATGGTATTCCTGTGTATGGATATAGCACATTTTGATTATCAATTCAACAGTGGATGGACATTTGGGTTGTTTCGACTTTTGGGCTACTATGAATAAAGCTGCTATGAACATTCACATGCAAGTCTTCGGTAGACAAAGGTTTTCATTTTTCTTGGGGCGATATCTGGAAGTGGAATAGCTGGGTCACATGATAAGTTTATGTTTAATTTTTTTAAAGAAACTGCCACTGTTTTCCAAAGTAGCTGTACAACTCACATTCTCACCAGCAATGTATGAGACTTCTATCTCTATATCCTTGCCAATATCTGTTACTGTCTGCTTTCTTTTTTAAAAAAAAAGTTTAATTGTGGTTACTAAAAAACATAAAAGTTAGCTTTTAACCATTTTAAAGTGTACAATTCAGTAGTGTTAAGCATATTCACATAGTTGTGCAACAGATCTCCAGAACTTTGCCATTTTGCAAAACTGAAACTGTATACACATTGACCACTAAATCCCTCCTCCTCGCCCCTGGTAAGCAACACTCTGTTGGCTGCTTTGGGACTCTGACTGCTGCAGACGCTCCCGCAAGGCAGCTCCTTCAGTGTTAGTCCTTCGTGATGGGCGTGTCTCCCTCAGTATGGCGTCCTCACCATACTGCGGTCCATGCTGCGGCCGGGAAAGGACTTCCCGCCTACTTAGAGCGGAATTAACATTCCCTGGATGTACGGACGTTTTGTCTATCCTGTAATCTGCTGATGAACACCTGGGTTGCTTCTCCCTCTTGGTTATTGTAGTGAAATGTTTAAATTCCTTTCTCATTTCCTTTTAAGTATATTCTATAGCTACTGTTTTTGTGTTACCATGGGGATTACATTTAACATTCTGAAGTTATAATACCCTAATTTGAATTTATACTATCTTAACTTCAATAACATACAAAAAACAAACAACATACTAATATATAGAAACTCTGCTCCTTTGCAGCCTTGTCCCCACCCCTTTTGGTTGTTGATGTCACAAAACTCCATCTTCATACATTGTGTGGCCTCACATAAACTAATAATTCTTTTAAATGCATGGGCCTCTTAAATTATGTAGAAAACAAAATGTGGAATTAACAGTTACAATAATATTAGGTTTTAGACTAATATAAAAAATGTATTAGTCACTCAAATCAAATATGGAGCTACAAACCATTGTTACAATAATAGTTGCTGTTATGATTGCACATATACATATATACACACACACACACATATGCCTTTACTGACATCTTTATTTCTTCCTACAATTTCAAGTTACTGTTTAATGTTTCATTTTAATTGCAGGACTCCCCTCAGCATTTCTTGCTGGGCAGGGCTAGTGGTAACAAATTCCTTCAACTTTTGTTTACCTGAGAATGTCTTTATCTCTCCCTCATTTTTGAAGGACAGTTTTCAGCTATAGAAATCTTGGTTGAGTTTTATTCTTTAGCACTTTGAATATACTGGCCCACTGCCTTCTGGGCTCCAAAGTTTCTGATAAGAAATCTGTGGATAATCTTACTGGGGATCTTGTATATGATATGTCACTTCTCTTTTACTGCTCTCCCTAAGTTTTGAAGGACATAGTATTCTTTTTTCTAAAAAAATATGTTTTTATTGATTTTTAGAGAGAGAGGAAGGGAAAGAAACATCGGTGAGAGAGGGAAACATCATTGATTGGCTGCCTCCTGCATGCTCCCCACCAGGGATCAAGCCAGCAACCCACGCATGTGCCCTGACCAGAACTGAACCGTGATCTCCTGGTCCTTAGGTCAACGCTCAACCACTGAGCCCCACTGGCAGCACATGAAGGACATAGTATTCTTGTATGTGATGAGTCATGTTTTCCTTGCTGCTTTCAAGATTCTGTCTTTGACGTTTAACAACATGATTATCATGTGTTTTGGTGTGGGTCTCTTGGTTTATCCTGATTGGAGTTGAGCATTTTGAATCTGTGTATCTATTTCATTCATCAGACTTGGGAAGCTTGTGGTCATTATTTCTTTAAATAAGCTGTCTGCTCTTTCTTCTCCTTCTGGGACTCCCATAAGACGCATATGTTCATTTAATGGTATTCCATAGTCCCTTAGGCTCTCTTCAATTTTTTTTATTCTGTTTTCTTTTTGTTTCTCTGTTTCAGTGATTTCCAATGACCTTTCTTCAAGTTCACCAATATTTTTCTTCTACTTGATCAAGTTTGTTGAACCTCTTTAGTGAATTTTTAAATTCAATTATTGTATTTTCAGGTCCAGAATCTGTTTGATACTTTCCTATAGTCTTTTGTTTAATATTCTCATTTTGTTCATACATCGTTACTCTGCTTCATTTAATTGTCCATCTGTATTCTCTTTTAGTTCCTTGAGCACCTTTAAGATAGTTTTTGAAAATTCTTTTTCAGGCAGTTAAGGGATCTGTGTTTCTTTAGGGTATATTTCTGGAGCTTTGTTTTGTTTCTTTGATTGGGCCACATTTTCCAGTTTCTTTTTATGCCTTATAGTCTTTGGTTGAGATTTAAACATTTGAAAAACAAGAACTTTTCCCAGTCTTTATCCACTGAGTTTATATAGATCACGACCTTCACCAATCAATCTGGCTAGAAATTCTGGGACCTCTCACCTTTTCTGGGAATGTGTTTTCTCAGGGCTTGTGCATCTGCTTTTATCTGTCTAATTTCCTGAGTGGCTTGCCCCTATATCTTCTCAGGAGCCCACAGTCTTTTACTCCCCCTGGTACCTGCCTGTGGAACTGCACTCTCTCTGCAGCTCTAACATGCCACAGTGCTCACCTCTCTTTTCAGCAACTTCCAACTGTGCTACTGTGCCCATCAGTGCTTTGAGTCAGGAAAGACAGAAATCACCCCTTGGGCAGCCCCCTAACAAATTAGAACACTGGGCTCTAAGTCCACTCTTTTGTTTCTATCTTGAGGAAGGAGCTGTAGTATAGGAGGTTTCCTCCCAATTACACCATGGTACCATGGTATGCCAGGTATGGGGAGGGGCATGGACACAAAATACCACAAACTTCCCTACTCCTTTTAATTAAGTCCCTTTTTGGTTATGCATTGGCCTGGGTACTGTAGCTTCTCAACTGGTCTCTATAGTTTGCACCAAGATGTTCTGGTCCATATATTGTTGCTGAATTTGTATCTCCATGGAGGAATAAGGGCCTGGAGTTTCCTTGTCCATTATCTTGATGATGCTTCCCAGATTATTCTTTCTTAACGCCCTATGTTATTTTACTCCAATCTGGACTGGTTGCTCTCTAGGTCTACTAGTTTCTGTAATCTTAGGACTTCTCTTTCTTATCTCCTGGTGCTCCCTGGATCCTGTGCCTCCCTCTTTTTTTATTATTCCCCATTCTTTTGATGTATACGTTCAAGTAACCTACTAAGGAATGGGGTTTGGGGATACTTTTCAAGCTCCTACATGTCTGGAAATGTCTTTATTCTACCCTCACACTTGACTAATAGTTTAGCTGAGCACAGAATTCTAAATTGAAAAGAATTTGTTATACCCAAGTGCTTTTGGGTGAGCAGACAGAAAGATGGCAAGTTTAGGAATCCCTAAAGGTCAGAATGCAGAAGAATTATTTTCTAGAGCACCAACTCTATACTAGTTGCCTTCACTTATGACAGATGGTTCATTCATTTTCTTTAGACAATGAATCCTTTAAGTAACCTGGTGACTGAACTTTCTGTACTCCAGAATGGACAGGTTATCAGTTCCATTTATAAACTTTCAACAAACTTACAGCCTATATCTGACCCCAACCCTCTTATACATTGTTTCTGAGTCCAGAACCTCTCTGCCCTGAAAGGCAGATTTTCTTCCTCTTTGGCTGCAGCCCCTTCCACATGTATCCTAGCCTCTGGCTTTCTCTGCCTACTTCATCAATCATCACTCTTACATTTCCTTTAGATCTTTCCATCTTCATTCAGATCTAAGGTCCTTCCCTTTATTTTCATTACCATGAATTTATAACTTTCCCTACTCACTATTATTTTTCATGGGGTCTCAAGAAGGACAGGGATAAGTGAATGTACTCGATCTTGAATTGGAAAACAGCACATACTATTTCAATAGGAATTGTTTGATGGGGATGAGAGTATGAGGAGGAAATAGTGGCAAAGACTTTACTATCAGATTTGTTGTTACTTTTGTTTCTAGTTAAAATTTCCTCTGCAAAAGATACACCCTCATAATTGTTATGTTACCTCTTCCTCCATGACATAAGTGAGCAGCTTCCAGTCCCACTCCACTGTCTTGGCATTAGCTGGATGTAACCTGAAAGTCAAGTGACATGAAATTAGCATTCTGGAAGTTTAGTGGGAAAAGGGATGGAATTCTAGAAGATGATAGAAGCAAGAAGCCTCCTCTTATCCTGAATGTTCTTGCCACCTCCTTGATACAATACCATACCATGCCATCTAAGGGTACTGGAACTTTATTATTTTTATAATGCTACCTGGTACCCATTTCTCTTTTGGGAGGTGTTATTGGCTCAATTTTGCTTTGAAGAAATCAACTTTTTATTAGTTGGCCTACTGGCTCTACCTACTAGGACCCCGGAATGAAACCTATGAAACATATTGAGCCAGTCATAATATTCTACCCCTCATTCAGTGATTGGCTCATAGATGGGCTCATGTCTTATGTTATGCCAATTAAAGCCTACAGGACTCAATTTCAGAACTCTTGTGTGATTGTAATGGGAGCAGACTCGTTCACCCACTGTGAGTATCAAAAGCTAGAGGCCAAGAAGGCTACCACATGAAGCCTGAAAAAAGAAGCAAAGCAGAGCTGAAAAATGGATCCTTGTAAGCATATTTGAACTGAATTAAGTCATGTCTTATTCCTAGAGTTCTAGTAACATGAGTCATTAAATTCTCTTTTACTAGCTGTTAAGGCCAGTTTGGAATGGGTTTCCTGTCACTTGTCATCCAAATAACACTAATATACTAAGTCACCCTCTCTAATGGTTAGCTGAATAGAGCCTAGGCAAGAGAAAGCTGTGCCCCGAGTCTAGGCTGCCTAGAAGGTTTGCCCACATCTAAGGTGCATACTGTTGAATCTTCATGAGAAGCATGTAGGCCTCCTTTAGGACATCCACAGTCTCCGAGCCACTGAGCAGGATTTTCTGGATGATGTGAGCCACAATTTCTCTGGGCGGATAATGTTGAGGTGACACGAAGTCCATCAAAAACTGCACCGTCCCCAGGGGAAAATTTTCTTCAATGGTGTTTGTTACCATTCTTAGTCTTCGATGGGGGATGGGTTCTAATTTTTGGCCCTTGCTCTGTAGAGATAAAAAAGAAGAAATTAGGATGGGTTTCTGAAGACATGAAACTAAGAGGCTCTGGAACAGGTTGAAGACAGCAGTGTCCCATGTATCTGAAATATTCATGAGTTTAAAAAGAGGCTGGAAGCCTTATCTGAACACATTCAGTGACAGGGGAAGATGCTCATATTAAGTTAGAGAATAAGAGTTCAGTGTCCTACATCTAACATGATTTCACCTGTGTTAGAATACAGCACAGAGAAAAAAGCATGAACGAGCCAAGAGCTGGCCAAGCTGATTTTAGAGTGAGGGTGATATTTAGGGGCTGCCTGGCCAGCGTGGCTCAGTGATCAAATGTAGACCCAGGAACCAGGAGGTCACGGCTCGGTTCCCGGTAAGGGCACAGGCCTGTGCTGCGGGCTCGATCCCCAGTCAGGGTTGCGGGCTCGATTCCCAGTAGGGGGCATGCAGGAGGCAGCCGATCAATGGCTCTCTCATCATTGATGTTTCCATCTCTCTCTCCCTCTCCCTTCCTCTCTCTGAAATCAATAAAAACATATTTTAAAAAAAAAGATATTTAGGGGTAGTTATAATAGATTATCAGGTACTGAAAAAAACAGAGGAAGAAAGGTATTTTAAATATGTTTTATTGTTAGGAGAAGAATCCCATTTTGTTCTTTTTTTTAAGTTGATAGTAAATATTAAGTTGCTTTCTTCCCCCAAAAGTATGTATATAAAGTCTGGGAGGGAAAACATGAAAAGTAATTTCTAATATCTGGGTGGTGGAATTATATATGATTTTTCCTCTATATGCTCTTTTGTATTTTTCAATTTTTCCATAATAGACATATATGGCTTTCACAATCAGGAGGAAAAAAAAAAAAAACATTAAAAAGTTCAATATAGAAATAATAGCAATAATTATAGAACAATGTTTTGTACATTTAACTTATCCTCAATTAATTCTCACAACAACCCTAAGAAACACATACTATTATTATTCTTACTTTATAGATAAGAACACTGAGATTTAGAGAGTAAGCATTTGTCATACACTAAATGGTTCCACAAGTCGGGGAAAGATTAAAATGTCAAGTTCATACTGGGCATGTTCTCTCATGTATAGACTCTTTTTTTAAAAAAAATATATCTTTATTGATTTCAGGGAGAGGAAGGGAGAAGGAGAGAAAGAGATGGAAACATCAATGATGAGTCATTGATTGGCTGCCTCCTGTGTGCCCCCGACTGGGGATCAAGCCCACAACCTGGGCATATGCCCTGACCGGGAATCGAACTGCGATCTCCTGGATCCTAGGTCAGTGCTCAACCGCTGAGCCACGCCAGCCGGGCTCATGTGTGGACTCTTGCTGGCATACTATCCTTAGGCTAGGCCTGTAGAGAGAACATCTAATCCCTAGGGGAGGGTGGGTTAGCTCACCTCTCTTACGTCTTTATCGGGGATCAGTGTCTGGAAGAAGAGGTGGTGCACCGGAGGCCGTAAGAAGTACTTCAGTCTATGCAGGCACGGTCTGTTGTACAGCACACCTGGTGGGGTTCGTGCCTGTACCTGGGCGGACCCGGGGTTGGCACGCTCTGACACTGTTACCGCCTTTCTGGCTGGAGTTTCTGTGACAGAGAAACTCCAAGGGATTTTCTCCAAGGAAGCTTTAGACTGTGGAGACTGTGGGCTGAGAGAGCAGCGTGGAGAAGATGGGGCCGAGATATCCATGGGGGTGTCACGGTTCTGCACATCATTTGGGGGAGAGTCAGGCCTGTCTCCTGGCAAGTGTGGCATGTCTCCAGGCAAACGTAGCACATCTGGTAAGAGTGAGACTTCTCCAGGTGACTGTGGTGCGTCTCTTGGTGACTGTGGTGCATATCTCGGTGTCTGTGGAGCATATCTTGGTGACTGCGGCGCATATCTTGGTGACTGCGGCGCATATCTTGGTGACTGGGGTGCATATCTTGGTGATTGCAGCACATCTCTCGGTGACCGTGGAACGTCTCTTGGTGACTCTGGTGCATATCTTGGTGTCTGTGGCGCATCTCTTGGTGACTGTGGCATGTCTCTTGGTGACTCCGGCGCATATCTTGGTGTCTGTGGCACATATCTTGGTGACTGTGGCACATCTCTTGGTGACAGTGGAGCATATCTTGGTGACCTTGGTGCATCTCTTGGTGACCTTGGCGCATCTTGCAATGACTGTGACATGTTTCCTGATGACTGTAGCATGTCTCCCAATGACTGTGGCATGTCTTGCAGGTGTGCCACATCTTGTGGATATGATATGTTTTGAGGTGGGCCTGGTACTCCTTGAGGTAGGCCCAGAGAGTCTTGAGGCGGGCAGAGCGAGACTTGAGATGGGCTTGATGAGTGTTGAGGATGCCATGAGGCTTGAGGTGGGTTTGGTGAGTGTTGAGGATGCCATGAGGAGTCCTGAGGTGGGCATGGTAAATGTTGAGGATGCCATGAGTCCTGAGGTGGGCATGGTAAGTGCTGAGGATGCCATGAGTCCTTAGGTGGGCATGGTAAGTGTTGAGAATGCCATGATGACTCCTGAGGTGGGCATGGTAAGTGCTGAGGATGCCATGATGAGTCCTGAGGTGGGCTTGGCATATTTTGCTGAGGGCATGGCACTTCTTGAGGCAGGTTAGGCAAAGCTTGTTGTTGGCACTGCACGGTTGGTGATGGGCATGACAGGGCTCGTGGTGGGCATGAGGAGGCTCGTGGTGGACATGGTGAGGCTCGCAGTGGGCACGGCAAGACTCGCAGTGGGCATGGCAAGGCTTGTGGTGGGCAAGGTGCATCTTGCTGTGGGCACGGCAAGGGTGCCCTTTGATTGCTGCTGTTGCCATTATTGCTTATTGGGGAGAGGGAGTGAATATCTGAAGACAGCTCTAGGCTGGCCAAGAAGCTTAAGTCATCTTTGAATGTGGTTGAGCTACAGTTTGGCTCTGCTGGACACACAGAGTCTCCATTGATGGATGTAGGGGGTTGGGGGCCTTCAAATGCGGCTTCCTCCAAAAGGTCCAAATCCACAGGATCGCTGTTAATGATTCTCCGTGCTGCAGGCCAAGAGCTTCTGTCCACCCGCCCTTCCATCACCTCTTTGCTGGAGAGGCTGGCACATGTTTGAAGATTGGTTGACTCCTTCTGGGAAGGAGCAACAGGTTCTAGAGTCAAGTCAAGAGTGGCAATAGGTCTGTTTTCTTCCTCAGTTCTTGTCAGGTCAATCACACAGATTCCATTGCGATCCTTTGGCCTTGGTCTGGTTTCTCTGGTTAAGTCAATGAAGTCCTGTTGAAGGATTGTGAGAAGATAAAGGGTCAAGTAGGAGTCTCAGTTTCATCTCAGAAGACAAATCTTAGCGTTTAAGGATAAGCATATTTTACCTTTTCACTTCACTGACAATGTATAAATCTTATATAACATAAACATTATTTCCTTTGATCAAAATTTTACTACTTTCAAAGCTGTTCATTTCTATAGCTTCTCAATTTATCCAAATGCCACATGCACATTACTGAGGGCATAGTGGGAAAGTGTTCTGATCCAAGGTGGATAGGGAAGTTGTAGGTAATATTTCAACCTTGAGGCACAAACTAAAAAGCAACTTTTGCTTGGAAAAGCAAATGCACAGGATAACCTACAATGGAAGCTGCAGAAAAAGAGACGCTAGTCTAAGAGAACTGACTCTGTGCTAAGAACATGTTGAGAGCTTCCTCATGTCTAACTTTCACAGTGACCTATCGGGTAAGCATTATCACCTCCATTGTGCAGGTGGGGAAACAAGTTCAGAGACAGTGGGTTATTTACCTAAGGATTATACAGCGAAGTAGCAGAGACAAACATGCAAACCAGGACTGTTTCCTTCTTTCCCTGTTAGGGCCTAGGAATGTACACCTTCACTCAATACACAGCTAGCCTGTTGTCAGATATGGAGGATAATACTATAAAGGGTTATGAAACGATTAGGCAGGTCACAAAGCCTGGCAATGCCAGCCAGAGGCACTGTAATCAAACTCTGTGCCACGAGCCTGCAGCAATATTGCTTTCCCTCCCAGGTGTCTTCTCACCTCATTGGGTACCAATTGCTGGGCTACCACAGCTACTATGCTATATCTTAGTAGACGTGATGGTCACCACTGTCAATGGCACCAAAGCAGGGCACAGGATTCTGGGTGGGTCAGGTAAGAAGCTGGCATGCACCTCACCCTGGAACAGGGATTGCTTGGTGAAACCAACACCTCTTTCCTAAACAGCAGCCAAACAGCATCACTGCCTGTGGTGGCTCTCTGCTGCTAGCTGAACTTAAGTAGCTGCCAGACCATAGAGGGTCTGAATTCATCCCTTCTTCCATCGCCAACTTCTGAAGTGCAACATTACCATGTCTGTCCCACTTAAAACCCACCATCTGAGCTATAGGCTAAAGGACAAATGTCTTAGCATGACACATAAGGTCCTTCATAGTAAGGCCTGCATGTAGCCCCTCCCTGACTACTGTCCCTCCTCACATGACTGAATCACACAGTCCCACAGATCCCCCGAAGCGCCATGCTTTCTCCAGTATCTCTATGTTTGCTTATGTTCTTTCTTTTGCCCAGAATGACTATTATCCCCTTGATTGTTTAGAAGTTTCTTGTGTTTCAAGACTCAGCACACATACCACCATGTGAAGTCGCCCCGACCACTTCTCGCCACAGGTTCATCATGCCTCTCTCATATCCCCACTGCATCTGTACACGCCTCTTTCTTAAACCCAAACAATTTAACTCTTGATTATATTGGAAATGGAAAGGAATTTTTGTCATTTTCCAATTATTCATTACTAGCATATAGAAATACTATGGATGTATTTTATCCCTGTGTCCTCCAACCTTGCTAAACTCACTTAATAGTTCAAGTAACTATTTTTGTAGATCTTTTAGTTTTCCACCTAACAAATCATGTTGTCTGCAAATAAAGAAGTTTTACTTCCTCCTTCCCAATCTGTACCTTTTCTTTCTTTTTCCTGCCTATTGCAATGGCTAAGGCATCCAGTATAATTCCCAACAGAAGTGCTGAACAGGCATCCTTGTCCTGCTCTTGAACTTAGACTTTCAGCCTTTCATTGTCAAGTGTGGTGTTAGCGATGGGTTTTCAGATGCTTGTGTCAGACTGAGGTGGTTTCCTTTTTTCCTAGTTTTCTGAGGGTTTTAATTGGGACCAGTCATTAAATTTTGTCAAATGCTTTTTCTGTACAACACAGATGATCACTTTTTATTTTCAGTGACTTTCTAATATTAAATTAATCCTGGGGAGAACACCACCTGGTTATGATGTATTATTCTTTTTCTATGTTGTTGGGTTTAATGTATCAATATTTTATGAAGAATTTTTGCATGCTCACGAGGGATATTTGTTTATAGTTTTCTATTGTAATTTCTTTTACTAGTTTTGCTATCTGATAAAAATGGCCTCATAAAGTGACTTGGGAACTATTCCCACCCCACTCCCTATAGTTGTGTTGGATACTTTTATCTTTTTGAAAGTTTGATAGACATCACCAGTGAAGCTATCTGGGCCTATTATTTGCTCTGTAGGAAAGTTTTTTAAAAAAAACTTTATCATCTTTGTTGTTGAAAGTATTACAGATGTCTCCCCTTTCCCCCCCACTGACCCCCTCCCCAGGCCTTAACTGCACTATTTTCTGTGTTCATGGGCTATGCATCTTTGGTTAATCTCTTCGCATCGCCCCCCTTCTCTCTGAGATCCCTCAGTCTGTTCTGTGCTTCCATGCCTCTGGATCTATTTTGTCTGTCAGTTTATTTTGTTCATTAGATTCCACATATAAGTGAGAACATGTCATATATGTCTTTCTGTTTTAAATTACAGATTCAATAGCTTAGTAAACATCTACTTTTTCTTCTTGTGTTAGTTTTGTGACTTGTGGAATTCATTCATCTAAATTGTCAAATTTAGTAGCATAAAATTGTTCACAATAGTCCCTTACTATATTTTTAATTCTATGCTCTGTATAGATCTATTCCCAATTTCTTTTTTAAAAAATTCCCCAAGATTGGTAACTTGTATCCTCTGCATTTTTTGGTTCCTGATCAATCTAGCTAGAAGTTTATCAATTTTATTGATCTTTTAAAAAAACCAGATTTTAAAAAAATCTGTTTTCTATTTCATTTATTTGTTATCATTATTTCCTTCCTTCTACTCACTGTCGATTTAATTTGCTCTTCTTTTTCTAGCTTCCTAATATAGAAGCTTAGACATTGATTTTTCAACTCCTTTCTTTTTTATCATTAGCATTAAAAGCTAAAACTTCCCCTGTAGGTACTGCTTTACTTCATGCCACAATTTGTAATATATAGTCATTTTATTATCATGTAGTTCAAATTTACTTTCATTATGGTCAGAAAACAAACCCTGTATGATTTCAGTCTTTTGAAATACATTGTGACTTGTTTTATATCCTAACAATGGCCTACCTTGCTGAATGTTCCTTGGGCACTTGAGTGTGGCTTTGACTATTGCTCCCTTTGTTACTTTGTTTTTTAAATTGCTTTTAGAGAGAAGGAGAGAAACAGGTCTGTTGCTCTACTTACTCAGGCATCATTGCTTCTTCCCTGTGTGTGCCCTGACCAGGATGGAACCCGCAACCTTGGTTTATCGGGACAACGTTCTAACCGACTGAGCTGCCCGGCCAGGGCTAGTTCAGTTAGTTTTGTTTCACGTATTTTGAAAACTGCAGTTGTGGGGTGGCGTGCCAACTGTCTTTTCAATGATGGCCTAATAATGTACTAAGAATTAAGAGAACAGTTACACTACCCCTTCCCCACGCCCAGGCTAAGAGAAACTTATTTAGTTTCTAAAGAAGTGGGACCGACCTTTAGAACTTTGGGAAATTGAAAAGTTGCATTAGAACATCAGAATCCAAAGGATTCTAGAGCAGCACCCTCCTTTCATTACTAGTTAGAAAAATCTCACACAGTCAAGCTTAACTCAGCCTCAGGATTAAAACAGTAAGTACAGTATAGGTGCATCTTACTTGGGGATTTGTTTCCAAAGCAAGCCAGTAAGATGAACATAGTGCCTATTCAAAATTACTCTTAAACAGAAGCCAGTGGAAAGGAGCTTCCACTGGCCCAAACTGGGTCTATTTGAGCACAAAACAAACAGCAATTCAAATGGTGCTAGAGCAACTGGACATCCATAGGTAAAATATATGAACCTCGAGTGAAATCTCTCTTATGCCAAAATTAACTCAAAACAGATTATAGACGTAGAAATAAAATGTAAAACTATAAAATTTTTAGGGGAAAAAAACCTACAACAGGAGAAAAATCTTTGGGCTCCAGGGCCAGGCAGTTTTTAGACAACACTAAAAGCACTATCTATAGGAGAAAGTGAGTAAATAAGACCTAATTAAAATGACAAACTTTTGCCTGTGAAAGCCCATGTGAGGAGGATGCCATACTGCAGGCTGGGAGAAAGTATCTGTAAGCCACACATCCAACGAGGGACTAGTAACTAGGGTATGTAAAGAACTCATAACTCAACAGTAGAAAACAAAGCTCAATGATAAAATGGGGAGAAGAGAATAAACATTTCATTGAAGAAGAGAGATGGCAAATCAGTAGATGGAAAGATGTCTGACGTTATTAGCCATTAGGGAAATGCAAATGAAAACCATAATATCGCTTAATGTTAACAAACACTGCCTTTATAATTACTCAGTGCGCTTATACATTTTTGGAGGGCACCCTGTATTTTAGTCTTTGTTCCATTTTCCTGGCACAGAGCTGAAACCCTTGTAATTTCCAGTGACAGGGATAAGAGGCGCACTATTTTGTTATTCATAATAAGCCCCTTTCAACCATATCTGAGTTTATTAATGACAGCAGCAATGACTGAAAGCCCCCAAATGGCTTCAGGATTAAGGCCAGTTGCCTGAGGAACCATGTGATTAGAGGGTTAGTATTTTCAGCCCCACTCCCTCAATTTCTGGGGAGGGGAGAGAAGCTGGAGACTGAGTTAATAACCAATGGCTAACAATTTCATCATCATGCTATGTCATGGAGCCTCCATAAAAGTCCTAAACCATGGGGTTTGGAGAGCTTCTGGGTTGGTGAACGCATCCATGCACTAGGAGGGTGGCACATCCCAAACTTCACAGGGGCAGAAGCTCCTGCACTTGGGCCCCTTCTGGACCCTGCCTCTTCCTCTGGTGCTCCATTTGCATCACTTATAAGGAACTGGTAATAGTAGTGTTCCCCGGAGTTCTGTGAACCACTGTAGCAAACTATAGAACTTTGGGAGAGGGTCTGGGAACCTGATTTGTAGCCAAGTTTGACAGAAGTGTAGGTAAGTTGTGTAGGATCCACTGATTACAATTGGCATCTGGAGTTGGGGGCAGTTTTAGGGGACTAAGCCCCTAACCTGCGGGTTCTTTCCCAGCTCCCAGCAGTGTCAAAACGGAATTAAATTGTAGTGCACCTACTTGGCATCCAGAGAATTGGAGACGCAGTTGGTGTGGAGTACAATTCTCTACACAATTGGTGTCAAGAGTGATGTGAGTAGAGAAAGTGTTTTCTTTTAGCTTCCATTCACATATAGGCAAAAGTAAACTACGTTATTTAGATACACACATCAGGTAGTAAAACTGTTGGGAACAGCAAGTGATTACTATGGAAATCAGGAAGCAGCTGGGAGGTGGGAGGGTAGCAGGCCATGAGTTAGGAAGTATTTCCTCTGCTTCCATCTTCTATAGAGAATTGGTATAATTTCTTGTTTAAATGTTTAGTAGAACACACCAGTGAACCCATTTGGGCCAGGTGCTTTCTGATTTTGAAGGTTATTAATTATTGATTAAATTTCTTTAATAGATATAGGTCTATTCAGATTGTCTATTCATAGAAGTTTTATAACAAAACATTTAAAATTTTAAAAGTGTTTGTTCTCCCCTAACATATAAATCTAATAAATTCTAAACAAAATTCCAATGGATTCCACAAAGAATAACAGTATGTCCATAACAGTGACATGTTAAATACATTAGTCTTTAACGCCAAAATTCCACTGTAAGAAACTTGTCCTACAGACATATTTTTATGAAGAGCTCATCACATCATAATCTGAAACACAAAAGAGAAATTAAATTCAATAGGAGATTGGTTAGATAGTTTTTTATAACATTAGGTAAGATGGAACTGATAAAATATTTATTGAATGAATATTTGTGCCAGGTTACCACCTTATGCACTCAGAATACCGTTGTGAGCAAAATGGACACTAGTCTGAATGAGATACTAATATTTTTTTAAATGCCAGAAATATATTAAGTGGTTTTTTAAAAGTTAGTATGATTCCATTGGGGAAAAAATTAAGACATTTATGTACCTTTGTGTATATATACAGAAAACTTCTGGGATAATACACAAAAACTGTTAGTTATGTTTGGAGAGTGGGAATGTACAGGGGTGGGTTCTTACTAATGTCCTGAATTATTTTCCTTTTTATAATTTTAAAATTCTTTTTATAATTTAAAATGGGGTAATTTTATTTTTCAAAATATGATTGTGTACCTTAAAGAAAAACCCCAGAGAAGCCACTGGAGGGTACAGGGTTTCCTTTTGGAAAGAGTGAAGAAAATGTCCTAAAATTAGATAGTGGTGATGGTTGCAAAATTTGGAATTTATGGGTGAATTTTATGTATGGATGGAATTCCATCTGAATAAAGCTGTTAATGGAAGATGGGAAAGTCATCTTTGGCCTTAAGGGAAGCTTACCTTGATTTAAGATCCAAATTATTTTGACATCTGATGTTTTAAATTCAAAATGTAGGTGAATTTTGCTTTCCACTCTATGACACAGCTGTATTTTTAGTTCCAAAAAATATTTATAAAAAAATTAGCCTGGTGCTCACTTGGGCAGCACATACACTAAAATTGGAACAGTACAGAGATTAGCATGGCCCCTGGGCAAGGATGACACACAAATTCGTGAAGCGTCCATAGTCTGGGAGATATTGGGTTCCTCGTGTTGGGCTTTGGAGAGCTTGTTCCAGAGGCTCTCTCTGGGCTTGTGCCCAGGCTCTCTGGGACTCCCATCTGATCTTAAAAAAAAAAAAAAATTAGCCTGGGATAGATGTCAAGTTTATGCCTTGGGTCTCCCATCACAGAGGGTATTTTGACATATCTGTAACGTAACTTACCAGGAGGAAAGAATTCCTTAGAAAACTAACAATAAGAATTCTGTTTCTCCTTAAGTAAATAGTTACTGAGCACTCACTATATTTGAGGCATTAAACTAGTTGCTGGGCATACTGGGGATATGGCTGTGTACCACAGTGAACTTACTCTTTCAGGAAAGAGGTTGAGAAAGAAAAAGTGATTTAAAAAAATATTTTTTAAAGTACGTGATAGGGTTTAAAAAAGTAATTTTTAGATTAAGAAACCCTGGTGGGTCCATTCTTAAAAAAAACACATTAAAAAAATAAATTATATATTACAACTTGTTTCCCTCCCGCCCCAACCATTTGTTTCTAGCATCCCTACAGGATGCTCCCTTGGAAACCAGGTGAGAGGTTCACAAGTTTATCCCAGGATTTTCAAGATTGAGACTAGTGGTGGTAAAACTGCTCTACCCATTAGCACTTGGTTGAACCTTCCTCAGTTTCCTCCTCTATCAAATGAGGATAGTAACAGTATTTACCTCGTGGGGCTGCAGTGAAGATTACACGACTTAATCCACTCAAAGCACATATAGGGTGTGAGGCATGAATGCCAACTATTCTTAATATGTGATACTCACCACGACTAACATGTTCAACCCTGCGTGACAAATAGTCATTCAGAACCAAAACATTAGCTCCTTGATAAGAAAGGCTCAGGATCCAAATTGCCAAGAAGAAAGTCTAACTGCCAAGAAGAAAGCCTCATAAAATGAGAGTTATACTATGCTTCTAATTAGGAAGACAATATTATAAAGATATTAATTCTCCTTTAATTAGCTTACAAATCTTATCTAAGGGTTTTGAATTGGCTGTAATTTTGCCCTCCAGGGGACACTTGGCAATGTCTGGAGACATTCTTGGTTGTCACAAGTGGGAGGGCTACTGCTGGCATCTAGCTGTAGAGACCAAAGATACTGATGAGCATCCCACATTGCAGGTGACAGCCTCCCACAACAAAGAGGTATTGGCCCAAAGAGACCCTGATCTACTGAAATCCTTGACAAAATGATTCTAAAGTTCATTTGGAGGAGTAAATGGACACAATAGCCAATAAATCTTGGGGGAAATAAAGGACAGATAATTGCTCTACTAGATACAAAAAATATTGCCAAACCACAAGAATAGACAAATCAATGAAACATAAGAGAAAATCCAGAAACAGACATAAGCGTATAAAACAACGTGTTTCAAATAAGTGGAGAAAAAATGATTATTTAAGAAATTATTCCTGCATAATTAACATCATATTTGATGAACAACATACATTCTAATATCAAGAATGGTTATTGCGGACATTCTGTGTGGTAGTTCCTCTTTTCCTGAAAAGCTGTTCTCAAATTGACAAGTCTTCAACTCAGTGCTGTCTTAGAAATAAGGGAACAGAGTCTCTGGTAAATGCTGGGCACACTTCATGCATCTAAAACATTTCAGACGAAGAAAGAGCTAAGTGTTAAACGACACAGGAAAATAATACCCGTACAGGAAAGACTTTTCTGAAAACAAAGCAAAGATGTGCGAATGCGCACACAAGAACCTTAAACTTTATTGAGTAAAGTAGATTTCTAAATTTAGTGTGTAATCCCAATTTTATTTTTTTATTTTACTTTATTTTTAAATATATCTTTATTGATTTCAGAAAGAGGAAAGGAGAGGGAGAGAGAGAGATAGAAACATCAATGATGAGAGAGTCACTGATCCCGCAACCCGGGCATGTGCCCTGACCGGGAATCGAACCCTGATCGCCTGGATCCTAGGTCGATGCTCAACCGCTGAGCCACGCCTGGCCGGGCTATAATCCCAATTTTAAAAGTACACATTATTTGGAAGTTGATGAAATGATTTTAAAGTCTTTGAAAGAATAAACATGCAAAACTAGCCAGAAAAATTCTAGGAGAGTAATGAGGTGCTTCCTCTACTTTTGATTAAAATAGCCTGTTGCAAAATATATAAACTACATAGAACTTTACCACTTAATAAAGTAACATTTCAAACCACTGGGTGAAAAGGACAGGGATTCAACAAGTGATGTTGGGACAACTGGCTAACCATCTGGAGAGGAAAATATTAGATTACCATTTCATCCCTTGTTTGAAACTAATTCCAGGTAGATTAATGAATTAATTAAATGTAAAGCATATTTTTGCCCAGCCGGGCGTGGCTCAGCAGTTGAGCATCGACCTAGGATTCAGGCGATCAGGGTTCGATTCCCGGTCAGGGCACATGCCCGGGTTGCGGGATCAGTGACTCTCTCATCATTGATGTTTCTATCTCTCTCTCTCCCTCTCCTTTCCTCTCTCTGAAATCAATAAAGATATATTCTAAATAAATAAATAAATAAATAAATAAATGTAAAGTATATTTTTATAACCTTAAGAGTGAGGAAAGCGTTCCTAAGCATGACAACAAAGACAGAAATTAAATAATGGAAAAGAGTGACAGAATTGGCTACGTAAAACTTAGAGCTCCTGTGCCCGACTGAAGTGGCTCAGTTGGTCCTGTGCACCGAAAGGTTGCTGGTTTGACTCCCAACCAGGGCACATACCTGGGTTGTGGGTTTGATCCCTGGTGGGAGCATGTACAGAAGGCAACCGATCGCTGTTTCTCTCTCTTTCTCTTCCTCTCTCTAAGCATGTCCCCCAGGTGAGGATTAAAAGAAAAAATTGTAACTCCTGTAAAGAAAACAAAAAGAATTCAGAAGTTGGGGGGGAAATGTTAACATGTATGACAAAGGAGTCTGTTACTCGTTTTTCAGTACAAATTACCACAAACTGGCTGGCTTAAAACAACAGTAACTTATCCTCTCAGTAACTTATCCTCAAAATGAAGGTGTCTGCAAGGCCACGCTCTCTTAAAGGTTCATTGGGAGTCTGTTCCATGCCTTTCTTTTAGCTTCTGGTGTTGCCAGCAATCCTTATCTTGCAGCTGCTGCATAACTCCCATCTTTGCTTCCATCATCACATGGTGGTTTTCCTCTGTCTTCACACTGCCTTAAAAGGGCACCAGTCATATTGGACTAACGGCCCACCCTACTCCATATGACTCTGTCTTCACTGATTACATCTACAATGACCCTATTTCCAAATAGTGAGAGTTAGGACTTCAACGTATCTTTTGGGAGGACCCAATTCAACCCATAATGAATCCAATACATGATATTTACATAGTAGGAAAAATAACACCCCAATAGGACAGAAACAGATACATATATATATATTTATTTATCTCCAATAAACATGTACAAGATGTCCACCTCTACTACCAGATGAGCACACACTGACCTCTAGCCTCACTAGCTGCTCTTCCACCCCTTGCCTTCACCTGGGCTAGGCCCTGGATGTTCTTCCTTCTGTAGCCTCTCAGCCTAGATGATCGCATCTAAATCACTACAGCCTA